GAACTGATCGTGATTCAACCAAACACGCAACAGAAAGTGAGTGTATTTAGCCATCTGGACGTGAAGAAGAAGAGTTGCTGAATTTCAAAGTAACTTCACAGTGGATAAAAAAAAAAGGGATCTTTATGCCGGTGTAAAAAGGCAGATGTCAATATTTCAGAAACTGATGATCAACTTGGATTTTCACACATAAAAACATTATAAGGTGTGCAAAAAGGAGCAAATATGTATTATGCAGCAGTGATGATTGTCGATTGTGAGATTAAAAGAAATTGTACTGATTAGATTGTAGAAACACATAAGTAGCTCAAATATTTACTTGTTGCAACAAGATTTTGTCCAACCCTTTCTCTGAATGCACAATACATCAAGTCATGATACAGATAGTCTACAGCAGTACGAGACCAAACTGGATTCAACTCCATCCAAATAAGAACAGAAAACTGAGGCTATGATTTGCAAAGGTTCAACCAAATTCGACTATAACAGTCAGAAAAAATAAACAGATATGTACTTGTCTGAAAATGGCTGGGAAATGGAGTAAAATTTAATAAGATAGCAGCCAAAGTTAAAGGAAAACGCTGCAAAACTATTTTCAAAGACTAATATAAAAGATTACTAGAACATCTGGCTCCTTGAAAGCAAGACATAAAGAAATGAAGGGTGACTTTTGCAAAGTACGACACCATCTGTTGAATCAATTTATAGTTTGCAGACAAAAATCAATCCTCACTAACACCTTCCGTTTGCAATTAGGTGTTAGGCATGTTCATTAGGCCCTTATGTGAGCGATGGAAGAACCAGTTTGACAAAATTATGAGGCTGATACAAGATTAAGGTCTGAAGTTAGACCAGAATTAAAAGCAGTGCTTTCACATGTTCTCATTTAATCGAACACTATGCTTTACTCAACTTCACCTCTCAAGAAATGTTTGAGCGCTTGGTCTTTAGTTATTTATATGGAATCAATATGAGCTGCAGCACAGAACGCCATACATGCTTCTAAATTGAAAAGAGGTAAGATGACGACCCAACAGCAAACACAAACATAACCGAGCGCATAAAAAAGCCCTGCTGGTGACCTTTTCCAGAGCCAACATTTTGACTTGATGTGGCATGAAAAAGTGCAGCTGAAGTATATTTTGTTAATGACGTCTCAGCTGCAGACCCTCAGAGCATTGACAGTGAGTAAGACTGCATAGTAGGAAAAAAAAGTCTCACTAGCTCACTCACATGGGATGCTGACATTTTTATCATTATTAATTACACCTCTGCTGTGCCTCTACTGCCATGACAAGCTACAAAATGTCAGCTATGAAAAATTGGAGAACAGAAAGCATGAAAGAAATTAATTACACCTCTCTGCGGCTTAGCTGGCTGTATGTAGAATGTTTTTACAGATCTGTATTTGTGAGTTAAATGTAACTGATGTCATGAGAACCACTGTCTCTCAGAAGATGGTTTGAAAAACAAAGGACTAAACAGGAGCTTGTGTATTTGAGCATAATAGACAAAACAATGAGTTCAAGGTGCCTCACATGATCAACAATAGTGTTTTATGATTGTTTTCCGCTGTGCAGTTTGAAGAGATTCTAAAAATACAAAGGGAACAACTTTGTTTCTTTTTATGGACTTGTCATATCAGAGCCACAAAATTCCCTGTGCACAGCTGTCAAAATAAAAGAAGCATTCAGTTTATCGCTCTGTAATTACCTTTTTAATGCAACAGATCAGCAAGGCAAATAAAAGTACCATGATAGGACTCTAGCGCCACCTGCTGGGAAAAACATTATTATTATTATTTAAATTCAATTTCCTTCATGTAGATCAGATTTGTTTTATTTCTCAGCTTAGCTGTAAAAAATTATAAATATTAGCTACTGTGTGAAATCAGGATACCATATGTCTTTATATTTTGCTCCCTGGAAGCAGACTTACTCTGAGGGTTTCTGGAGGTTGAATGTTTTTCTGATATTTTCATTGTCCTTCCTGACCATTATCAGATGAATATGTATTCAGTAAAAAGGCTTCTTAGGTACTGAAAAATGCCTAAAAATACATCACATTATTTCAAAATAACAAATTGGGGCAGAAGAAATAAATTTGTAGATCTGAGTTTTTCTAAACAGAAAACTTTTGAAACCAATACTTACAGTAGCAGTTTTTTTGTTTTGTTTTTTTCAAACGGCTACTCAAATAAATGTAGCATATTAAATATAACTTGTTACGGTCCACCTCTGATTGCAAACAGTTTGTTTCAATTTCTATGACAAATCCCAAAGATAACACAATCAGACACATAAAACAGCATCGCAGCAGCAACAACAAAGAGCTAATGGCTGAAAACTTGGCAAATAGTTGATCATCACCTGATTGATGATTGATCTCCTTGGTCACGTAGTAGATTTTTCCTGGGCTGTTTTCCTATTTCATACATAGCTCATGTGATGTACATTGTTTTTTTAGACCTGACACACAACATATATTGTCCTCTGTTTGTTCACTTCCCTTTATTGTTTAAGAGTAAAAACACACTTTCCTGGTTAGACACAAGCACTCGAGGGGCAATGAGTTGAAGCACACAAAAAAATTGACAGACCTTTGGAAAACCTCAGAAATTATTGAGGAAGATTTTTTCAAGAGGTTGGTTTTAGTTTGACTAACTTTATTTACTTGGCATATTTGACTTTTGTCTGAATAAGCTTAGATTAAATAGACATGCATCACCCTGTATTTGGGTTAGCTGTCTTAAATGTAGCCCAAGGAGAGAAAGCGCAAGACTCCTGCAATGTATGGAAGTAAATCTGGTTGGAGCTCTGACTTGCCCCCAGCTTGTGAATGAAGCACTTTGTCTTTCACAAGAGTTATTTTCATCTTCATTCCATCAAAGCTCATTGCCTTTTTGGAAAAAAACAGCTGACTCGTTCTCCAGCTCTTCCTCCCTCAGGCCGATTTAAAACATGTTTCATCACTTTTTGAAACTACTGGTATCCCTCTAGAAACAAGCATGGCAATTTATATATCTGCCTTAGCTTTTCATTTGTCTCCTGGTTGCCATATCAAACTAAGAATTTGGGGTTGTTTCAAAATCTGTCATTTCTCAGTTTTCCAGCCTGTAGTGCTCATTATGTTCTGCTCTAATGACTCAAATGGATCACCCATTTCTGACATCGGTTTAGCAGTTGTAATGACACAATGGGGACATGTCTGCTTTAAACATGCTCAGAGAAATTACCAAGTTTCCCTAGAGTTAAAAGCATAAATCACTCTAAGGAATTTGGCGACATTCCACACATCACTACAGATTAGCTGCATATTCTGTAGTCTGGATGTTTGGTTTAGGTCCTGCTTCCCTAACAGAAACATCATCAGAAATTGTTGCTAAAAAAGATTTAACAGTCATATCCCATTAAAAGCATTATAGGGAACTGTCTAAATTACTTTAGACAAAGTTCTTAAACTGAACTGTCTTTGAGTGTTCTTGAAGGCTGTATAGACAGATTAGAGTCAACGCTGAAAGTTAGCCTAGAATTGTAAAAAAAAAAAAAAAAAAAGCTTCTTGATTTTTTTAAAGACAATGTAAAAAATTCTTGTGTTTTTATCAGCTGGTTTGGTTTGTCTGGCTCAGACTCACTGGCCCAGAACAAACTGTTCAGAATGCCGCAGCTCAGTTTTGAACTTGCACAAAAGCATAGAGCACATAGAGTCCTGTAAAAACAATTAACCATTACACACCCTCTTCATTTTTGTCACATTTGTATGTTTCATGCCATTACTTATTAGACAATAATAATAGTCTAATAAATAATTTCTTGCCCCAGGTGAAAAAGTATTAGACCCTTAAACCTTATGCAACAACTGACAATGAGGTTTTCTTTTTTGAGGAGTGAGGAGTTTTGGTCAACTCTTCTTTTCAAAAGTATTTGTGGACATATTGGAGGATTTCTCGTGATTATCAGACTGTATCTCAGTAGGATTTCAATGTTGTTGAAATCCTACTGAGATACTCAATAGGAAATGGCCTGATTTTAACCAGGCCGCTTCCGAAACTTGCATTTTGTGTTTATTTAGCCATTCAGAGTTAAAATAGAGTAAACTGCTCCCTGATGTTGAAGAGACGAACATTGTTTGACTCCATGATGTAACAGGATTCACACCTTCTAAAAAAATTCTGCTCTTGTCTTATCAGCCCATAACAACCTTTTCCAACAATCTTGCAGATTTTATTTTAGCAAATATAAGATGGGTCTTCATGTAATTCTTGGTCATTGGTGGTTTTGTCCTTGAATTTTGTTGAACCTCTTTTTTTATTATTGAATCATGAACTTTGACTAAGTGAAGAATCCCGTGCTTCTATTGTGGCACTGATTCACTCTTGAATATTGGTAACACTGGTACACCAGCTATTTCGGTAAAGGTTCTCTAATATTTTCTATATTTGTGTATAATGATACTTACTTGGGTTTGGTGAAGTCCCACAGCTTGAAGAAATGGCCTCTTAACTGATCCCAGTGACTTTATTTCTCAACTATTGTATTTCTTACAATCAGTGCCTGATTTGTTGATGTGTAGAAAGGCAGTAATCAGCCTGGGTATGGCTGGGAAAAATTAGCTCAGAGAGTAATAGTTAATCGATTATTAACCAAGGAGACAATTGCTTTTTACATAATGTGGATTTAAACAGCTTTTTCCTCTTTGAAAAAAATTAAACCATCATTTGAAAACTATTGATTTTATTTACATGTGATATTTGTTGATCGTCATCATCTAAGTCATGTAAAAAGTAATCATAAAATCTGTAAAAATCAAGGCTACATGAAAATAAGACTTTTACTGTAAAACATTGGCACATACAAACAAGTTGCTTGAGGCACATTTCATTTAGAAATTGTGATTTTCACCAATTTGAGAAGGGTTTTTTCATTACAGTAAATTATAATATAATTCATCATACCAGTGCAAGGTATGATAAAAAAATTTGCACAGACCTTTCAGAAAAAAATTGTGTTCTACAATATGATATTAAAATTTTGTACAGTAATTTTACTTAACTGTACATTTGCAGTATTTTGCAGCCAATTATGGGTGTCAAAATTTCAAGACAAAACTATTGTCTAACATAGAAAGCATTAGTTAGCATTGGAATTATAGATATAGTCTGTTTCTTTGATGTTTAATTTAGCAAAACATCAGAACATTATGTTCAAATAAAAACATACATTTCTTAGAAGTACAAATTTAATATTTCCTTGAAGTGAATCCAACATTAATTATGAATGATAGTTCAAGATGTAAAAAATCTGGAACTTGTGTGTTGAGCTAAGAGCAAAAAATGTTGAGTCTAGACTTGTGAGAAGGAAACAAAGAAAACATCCTGCATGGGCTTCAAAGAGCTGGAACAAGTTTCATCTCGTCCTTCAGGGTTTCATCGCACACTGGTAGGATGTTCTTCACAGCCTGACAGCAGAAAAAGGTTAGATTCATATAGTGAATGATGGAAGACGCTGGAAAATGACATTTCACACTGTTACTAACTAATTTTCTTTTTTGGCTTTTGACTGGAGTTGAAGAAAATTATTGTTACTGTTTTGTTTTTGTTTTGTTTTTTTGCTCATATGCTTCTATTTGTTGTATTTTAAGTTTTAAACTTTTACATTATATTTATTTTTACTGTTTTGCAAACCATGAAGAAACTTGAATTTCTTTTTGTATTTTAAATGTGCAGAAGTTAAATTAGTATATAATTGAATCATGTAATGTAATCTTTATTTAAGTTTTATTTTAATTTAGGTTTTCTTGTGCAGTAGGTTTGTATATGCAGAATTAGTTTTAACTTCTCTGGATTTGTCCAAATCAAAAACACAACATGAGATTCATTTGTCATATGATATTCATATGTTTTATGAGGTACATCTCATGTATATCTAATGTAGATGACAATGTAAAAGATAAACATTCAAATTTATAACTTTTTTAAGTAAAGAGATTACTTACTTACTTTTCTAGTTTGTTGCATGTAGATACAATATCAGTTCAGTTAATGATGCACTTCAAATTGTGAATTATAAAGTTTGAATTCAGCCTCTGTTTACATTTGATCAAAAGTTCAAACAAGATTTAACCTACATCAGTACAAAAGTGAAGTTCCGATCAAAGAGAATCAATCTAAACCAGTAATATGTTAGTAAGATGCTCTGACAGGAACAGGAGTTTTTTACAGAAAAACTATGTTGTTATCTTTTACTGGCACATTGGGCTTAATTACCTTGGACTGTTTACTGTGAGACAACTGGCTTCATTTGGCTTTTGATGAATGATTGAAGCTCTGCAGGGGTGAAAAAAATCAAACAGAGAATGTGAAGACAGACGTTGAATGAATTGTTGGCTGTTGGAGGAAAATGATCAAATAAACACGCTGAGACATGCGTCTCTGTGAGTGATGCAGTCCATAATGAGCGAGCGTCACTGTGAATACCTGAAAAAAGACAGGTATTCACAGTGGTACCTTTCTCAGAAAGTACAGCTAGGTACAACACAGATGACTGAATAAATAAATCTCAAACAGGCTTTTTAATCACTCCCTGTCAGCTGGATTTTATTAGTGTGTTAATAACACACTTATAGGCGACTCTATGAAAGCAGAAATACTAAAACCTTTACATAGACGTCCACCCATAAACAGAAATATGAGACAACAGGGAACAAAAAAGACGACTTCAAAGTGTGACAAAGTAAACAGGTTTGAAAGCAATGGTTTAACCATGAAAAAACATAATTCCAGTTCTGTATGTGCTTGAAACATGTGGGTATTATGCATAAAAAACACACTGTTAATGCAAACCTCGCAGACAGACTAGACATCCAGGTCAACCCACATTGTGAGTCAAAGCACCAGCTCACCCAGATGGCTGATTATTGTCTAAAAGTATACAGCCAACAAAAAAATAAATATTATTTAACATTAATATATTAGTTATTTGTTAACTGTGTTTTTTGTCATAGTAGCAGCAAAAATTAACATGCTCTTATAGCAGAGAGTAACCTGAGCCAGTCTAATCTCGCCTCATTGGCAAGAAGTGACTCGTCCTGCCAGATTTATGTGAACAGGAAGACACTATCATTCAACCAATAAAACACGCAATATACTGGAGGTATTATGAATCAGACTACTTGTCCATAGAGAAACATATCTAACAAATAAGACAGATAACTGGCAAGACAGTTTTAACCTGATTGGGTGTGAAGCTTTTATAGAAAGCTCTGCGGAAGGAAAAGGAGTCTCGGATTATATTCTTATCGACCAAATTTATTCTATAGGACACATAAAAATCCTTAACAAATAACCAAGTTTGTATATTCTGTTTCAAACATAGTTTATAAAGCCTGTGACTATAAAGCTTTCAAAGGGATGGTGTGCCAAATTAAAGGAACAGAATTTCAGTGTTTTAATGTGATTGTGGGGAAGATGATCTAAAGTAAGACACTTTAAAAAACATAAACTAAATATAGGTATAATTTTTTTAATTCCATAAAAATAACTTTTGCAACTAGTGAAGCTAATTTTCCTATGTGTTTAGTTCATGTTGTAAAAACAACATTTTACAACAGTTTGTGCAGTCATGCCTCTCCAACCGTAGAACCAAACCCATATGTCTAGTTTTCAATTTTTATCCGGTGCAACTGAATAAAAATATTTATCCAGCTAATAAACTAATAAAAATATTTAGTTCTTAAATGATAAGAACTAATGCATGAAGGAGGCAACAAAACAGTAGTTAATGAGAACTGAAAATGCTGAGGTAAGAACAGACATCTGGAAATCCTTTTAAGTGACGCTACAAATATAACACAGTAAATACCATAAATTATTTTTGGCAAGTAAAATCACATTGTCAGTTCTTTTTTATTAAAGGTATTAAAAACATTTAGAAGAAAATAAATTAGTGCAGAACATATTCCTTGTGATTTGTTTTTAAAGTAAAATGTTAAATCTGCACAAGTAGTGAAATCTTGTGATTGACTTTATTTGGACTGTTAACATTTTTTGAAATAAAATAAGAAACTACTTATGCATTTGACAGAAAATCAGTTATTGTATTTATCTGACTTACATTGTGTGATGTTTAAATATGAGAACCATATACAAAATCCAAAACAGGCCAAAAACATTCAATCAAATTGTTTTCCATTCAATGAAATTCAGTATTGTTCCGTCAAGAACAGATTCAAATACACTTCCAAACCGGTTCCACTCGTCATATTACAATGCAGGACAGTGACATTAGGTCGGATAAAGGAAATTGATTCAAAGAGGCCAGCATATTGCATTCAGTCTTCTCACAGCTGTCTGGCATACTGAACAAGCCTGGGGCAAAAAGAGAGATGAAATAGGAAAAAGGATCAGCAAGAACATAGTCAAGGATGAGCAGCCATGTGATTTGGCTGGGTGTGTGTTGTGAGCATAATAGGGTGTATAGTCTACAAGAAAATAAAGAATGAGAAGAAACTTCGTAAATAGCAAAACTTAAATAATATATAAACAGAGAGCAAAGAAAATGGCAGATAGAGCTATTGAAAGATGTCTGCGCACTTCTGAAGACTAAAAACATCACTATAGAAAAAGTTAAAGCAGTTTTATCTATGAACTTTATCAAAAGGAACATTTACTGCCAGTAAACTGTCTGCCTCAAGAAGAAACAGTAAGCAGCCAAGGTGCCTAAAACCTAAGGCTATCTATTTTTAGAAATTCCAAGAAACACAAGTACTAACATAGCCTATCAGGAAAACACAGAACTATGAGTTTTTTAATTGAATGTCTTTAAAAGTTTCATGTTACAAAAAGTAACAACATTAGTTTTTAGTTGATTATTTCTTTAAAGTAAAAAAAATATATACAGAAGTCTTCTAACAATGGAAAGTTGGTTTAGTTCCCCTTAAATGCTGCCACAGTTGTATAGAAAAGGCACCTATTTGAAGGACAGGAAGCTAAAACTGTAGGTTGTATTCTTAAAAATATTTGCTAAAGTTGACTGAAGATGGGTGGAACAGAGGATGTCATCCCACAGCAGTGTGTGATCAAGCTTGAGACCAGGCTGAGGAGGAGGTAAGTGGTTGTGTATGGTTCTCCTATGCAACACTGAGGCCTGTGTTTGTCATATAAGTAAATTGTTAAATTCGCACAAAGGGTTGTTTCTTCAGCTTCAAACATTAATTACAATAAATAATGATTTATTCACAATTGGCAGGGGATCTGGCAATTTTTTTCATGGGCTAAACTCACATGTTCAGCTCTGCAACCCAACCAACTATGGGCTTTTTCTTGCAATTTTGAAATTGTATAAATTGTTATACACAAACTACGACAATTTGAAAAAGACCTCATCACTGCAGAATGATGTATTAATTGGTTTTATTTTCTAACCAAGTTGCTTATTTTCTAACCTTGGCAGAAGTATTGCAGACTTCTGCCAAGGTCCCTCTTGAAAATTAGATCCAGATGTCAACGGGGTTTACCTGGTTAAATAAAGAAAATTTAAAAAATAAAATACAATAAAATAAAAAATAGTAATGGCCGAAACAAAGATTTTCTTGCTTGTTCTTCTGAGTTTAGATAAATATGATCTTTCCTCGCTTCTGCAGCATTTGGAATCAGCTGAACGCTTCACCTGTGTCGTGCTTATTTTTGTACATCCTGTCACGCCTATGCCCACATATACACACATAGACTATGCACCTATAGAAATTGGAACAGTAAGAACGCCGATATTGTTGCTATTTTTGCATTGTTCACCAGAAATGATTGCTTCATTCCAATATCTGGGGTGGAAATCCGAAGACTGATAAGACAAAACCTGAAGGAGGAACGTGTTGCGAAATGTTCAGGACATTACTGAACGTGACGACGCTCGGGACGATGACGTTTCAGGTAGCGTACAAAAAGCATCCTCCGCGTGACGTACGGGAGCAGTCAGCGGTTCATCCCTTCCCCCGTAGTCTCGTCTGAGCTTGTTGGTTTCCCGATTGTTACACTTACGAAACCGACCGGCCAAACGATCTTTTTTTTTTTTTTTTTGAGTACTTGCTTTTAATTTGTCTTTATTTTCTATCTTTTGGTCAACCAGACAACACTTACGCTGACGTTCCTTTAGTAAAGGTAAGTTCCGTCTCTGTTTTCCTTGCTCGGCTTTACGTTAGCTAACCGACGCCTCCAGAAGGAAGTTAGTCGAGGTTATGTAGTTCACGGAAGAGTGAGAAAACTTCACCGTGTCTTCTTATTTAGTTAGAACTTACATGTATAACGAGATAATGTTCGTTTAATCCGAAATACATAGTTGATACCGGAGGATGGTTGTTGGCCTGTTAGCCGTTAGCTGTGCTGTAGCTTCGAGAATCTCCCCACCTCATCCCTCCTCAAAATGTCGCTGTCTGGACTTCCGGTGTTAGAACAAAGACCTCATAAAACCAGCTGATGGGGAATTTTCCCCTTTCCCTTTTGGGCTAATTCTTGTTCAGAAATATGTTTATGACTTACAACAAAGCAAATAGTTGTGAAATTAAGGGTTTAGGTATGTTGGCAAACTCCCCAAATAGGGTTTGTGAAAAATAAAAACGTTTAATTTTGAAAGCGCTAAAACCCGAGTCGTCCAATGATATCTGGATAATCGCGTGTTGTTTAAAGAACAAAAGGAGGTCAAACTACTCGTTTTCGGAGCGTGTCATTTCCAGCACTCGGCGGTGACACGAGTTACCGTAAATTTTGTTAATCATTCCTCCAGTTATATTAAGATTCTGTGGAAGTTGCTGAAAGCGTTTCCTGCTTTGGTTAAAGTGAACTGGTCTGCGTGGATCGAGTAAAAATGTTTTTTTGTTTTTTTTAATCAACGTATGCCAGTATTGCTAAGTATTTAGGGCTTGGCTAACGATGACGTGATCTTTATGCCGAGAAGAAATAGGATGACATTACGCCATGGTCTTGTTTTGTTCCACTTTCGTGCTAAGTTAGCATGCTAGCCTCCCTACAGCCTCCTACACGTGTTGACGTTCACATGCTCCACTTCTCGGTTAGAATCGGTTTAAATTGCTGGTAAGAAGGAACAGATTTCTGTTGTTGGTTGTAACAAACAAAATGATTCCGTGTGTGATCGCTTATCTTATCTTTCTGGCTCTTTGTTAAGCTGTTTGTGTTTCTTTTCTGTCTGCCTCCAGGTCGTTTTTCCAGCCCTACTCTTTGCTTAATTCTTTACTAAAATTCTTTGCCAAGCCGCCAAAGTGGAGAGTGTCGTCGCACCAGGGGGACCTTCTCGTTTCAGGTACTCGGCATTAATATGACATCACACTTGTTTGTCCTGATTCTCTGCTGCTCAAACCGCCAAGGATGTAAAACCATCCTTTTCTGTGATGTTAAAGTGGATTTTTTTCCCCTTTTGTTTTTACAGTGTAGAGGGAGGAGGTGGGGGTGCACCTCAGCACTATCCCAAGACTGTCTGCAACGGGTAACTTTTCTGCTTACTTAATACTCATGAGTTATTTTGTTTAGATTCAAATAAAAATTAAAAATAGTATTGAAACATGTACATGTTTTTTTTTTCTTTTTCACTTAAGGAGTCTTCCTTTCATATTATGCCAGGAAATGGGAATGTTTCTCTGAAATCTGTTACTAACATTAGATATGTGGACATGAGTTTCAGGCTGTGCATCAAAAGTAAAATAGTTAGACATTGTTGTATTTGCGTTGTTACACTCACTGTTTTTTTTGTTGTTTTTTTTGTAACAGCGAGTTCCTGGGGAAAACCCCAGGTCCTGGCGTTCAGAGATGGATTCCTTCACGAAGCACTAGACGAGATGCCAATTCCTCCAGCGAGAAAGGACAAAATGATGCAATCTTCAGGAAAGTAAGAGGGTAAGTTAACACTTGTACTTTCAATGTTGTTTTAATCTATCTGTCTAAAGTATATCTTCATGTTTTTGCTTTTTTTAATGAATATATTTTGTTCCTCAGCATACTTAATAAGCTGACCCCTGAAAAGTTTGACAAACTGTGCCTGGAGCTCCTCAATGTGGGTTTGGATTCAAAACTTGTCCTAAAAGGAGTCGTCTTGTTGGTGAGGATCCTTTATCCTTGTACATATTTTTATTTGTGGACACACTGAACCAATGATGTGTAATATATTGTATTTATGTTCTTAAGATTGTCGACAAGGCCCTTGAAGAACCCAAGTACAGCCAGCTTTATGCACAACTATGTCTTCGCCTGGCAGAGGATGCACCAAACTTTGAAGGCCCATCAGCAGAAAGTCAAGCAACTCAAAAGCAAAATACTGTAGGTTTTAAGCAATATTCATATTTGTAGTCTCTTAGATGTGTTGGAGTCAGCTTATATTTTTCTTTTCTTGTTTGTTTGCAGACCTTTAGAAGGCTTCTGATCTCTAAACTTCAAGATGAATTCGAAAACCGTGCCAAGAATGTTGATGGTGAGTAAATCATACTGTATTTAAAAAATATATATCTATATTAAAAACTCATTCTTTCCATCTAAATATCTATCCTTTTTTTTATGTAGTCTTTGACAAACATGACAACCCGCTCACCTCTGAAGAGGAGGAACAGCGTGCTATTGCAAAGATCAAGATGCTGGGTAACATCAAATTCATCGGTGAACTTGGCAAACTCAATCTTATCCACGAATCCATTCTTCACAGATGTATTAAAACAGTAAGTTTTAATATGATACATGTTTTTTGTAACAATGAGATTGATGTGTAAGGAATCTAACTTGTGCTCTTCAAAATGTTTTAAGCTTTTGGAGAAGAAGAAGAGAGTCCAACTTAAGGATATGGGTGAAGATTTGGAATGCCTCTGTCAAATAATGAAAACTGTGGGACCTAAAATTGATCATGCAAAAGCTAGGGTGTGTAAACTTAAATGGGTCGAACAATAACTACTGTTGTCTGGTCCGATGTTATATTGAAAACTCTTCAATTTCTCTCTGCAGTCCCTGATTGATCAGTACTTTGGACGCATGCAATCCTTAATGAACAACAAGGAATTGCCAGCCAGGATTCGCTTCCTGTTGCAGAACATGGTGGAGCTGCGAAAAAACAACTGGGTTCCTCGCAAAGCTTATGTGGACAACGCGCCAAAAACCATTCACCAAGTCCGCCAGGACGCCGTAAAGGTTAGACAGTGCTTCAGTGATTAGCTTGGCGCCTTTTTTAAAATTATTTTAGTTTTTTTTTTTTTTTTTTTTTTTTTTTTTTTTTTTTTTTTTTTTTTTTTAACTAACAAGATATTTTTTGCTTTTTAGGATTTGGGTGTATTCATTCCACCATCCAACGATGTGATGAGGAATGACTTCTTCACAGACCATAACTCCTTCCTGCCATCAAGGAGAGTTGAAAGAGAGCCTCTAGGTGGGCTTGCTGACATGTTTGGACAACTGCCTGGTATGTTGGCCGTTTTTACCCTGATAGAAGTTTTACTACTTTCTGGAGTCGTTAAAACATCTGAAGGCAAAATTGAATGTCTGTCTTTTGAACAGGGATTGGCATTGGAACTGGTCCAGGAGTGATTCAAGACCACTACTCCCCCACCATGAGTCGTCATCGTGCAAGCCCACTATTCAATGGCCATATGGGAAATGGCAATGCTTCACACCAGCCTCAGTTTGAACCAGGAAGCAAGCCATTCATAAAGCCAAATCAGGTAAGACTCATAGCTTTCCTTGTTTAATTCTCACTTATAGTGTTTAGTACTTAAACTAAAACTATTTTCTTTTTTTTTTTCTTTAAAGGGGCAGAATTCACCAGTTTTCAGCCATAAACAGAATCACTCGGCACAAGTACAGTCAAAGGATGTGGGTCCAAGGTTCAGCAAGAAAGGAAAACTCAATGCTGATGAGGTAGTAACTCTTTTGATGGCAAGAAAATCTAAACATTTCAGCTCTGAGTTAAGTTTATACCACTTTGTGTTTGTCTTATAGATCAGTCTGAGGCCGGCTCAGTCCTTCATCATGAATAAAAACCAAGTGCCAAAGCTGCAGCCACAAATGACTTTGATGCCTCAAACTGGTTCTCCAATCGGACAGGTAACCTCCCTTTGTTTAAATAAAGCTTCTATGGTGTTTAAAGTGTTGCAAGGTGCACTTTAAATTTACTTATTTATTTATTTTTACAGCTTGGCCTCAAAAATAATCCTCCTCCAATCCAGGAAAAGCCAGCAAAGTCCATCAAAAAGGCTCCACCGACTAAGGAAGAGTTGCACAAAATGACGGTGAGTTTCTCATGGTTTAAGCTCGACTTCCTTCCTGTAAGGTGTTGCATCATTCGATAAAACTTGCCTTTGTCTTTTTAGGATACACTTATGACAAACTATCTGAATGGGAAAGACATCGAGGAGGCTGTAAATGCTGCGAAGGAGATGAAAGCGCCCAATTACTTCTTATCTGAGATGCTGAACAAGATGATCGTGTTCACACTCGAACGGTCCGACGAAGACAAGGAAAACGCGAGCAAACTGATCCATGCCCTCTCCACAGAGGGAGTCGTCAGCCGTGAAAGCCTTCTGCCAGTGAGTGTCCTCTGATAAACGGAAAATTCTCGATCGTTCAGCTGAGTGTCAATTAACCCAAACTTTTTTTGGATATCTTTGCAGGCCTTCTTGCGTGTTCTGGACCAGAGCCCTAAGATCGAGGAAGAAATCCCTCTGGTGAAATCCTACCTGGCCCAGTTTGCTGCTCGAGCTGTAATCGCCGATCTGGTCAGCATTGACGACTTGGCTCATCAGCTGGAGAATGGTACCCACTTCCCCCTCTTCCTGCTGTGCCTGCAGCAGACAGTCAAGCTGAAGGACAAAGACTGGCTGGGCGACCTGTTCCAGCAGAGCAAGGTCAACATGCAAAAGATGCTACCTGGTACGCTTGTTCTGTTTACGCTCATTCTGTTTACATGTACAGTTGAAGTAATTTGGTTCTAGCTGACATTTTATTTAAATTTTTTTTTATCAGAAATTGACCAGAACAAGGATAGGATGTTGGAGATTTTAGAGGGCAAAGGCCTTGGCTTTCTGTTCCCACTGATGAAACTGGAGAAGGAGCTGCTGAAGCAGATTAAAGTGGATCCGTCACCACAGTCCATCTACAAGTGGATCAAAGACAACATCTCGCCCAAACTTCACACCGATAAGGGCTTTGTCAACATCCTTGTGACCAGGTAAGGGACAAAGCTTCTGCAGATAAAATAGCAGTCCTTAAAAGCTCGAGTTGAGGGATTTTGCCGTGTCTGCCAGTCTTCTGCAGTACATTGCTTATGAGATCAACCCAGACGACGACGAGGAGCAGCTCGCAGCCCCCAGCAAGGAGCAGCTGGATGAGGAGAAGCAACTGTTGCTCTCCTTCAAGCCAGTCCTGCAGAAGTTCCTCCATGATCACATTAACCTGCAAGTCAGTGCGCTGTATGCCCTGCAAGTCCACTGTAACACCAAGAGTTTCCCCAAAGGTGTGTGTTTGATTTTGGTTTTCTCCAAAGTGATTTAGTGT